GTCTGTGTGTGTGCGTCTGTGTAGATTTGTTAGAAAGCGTAATTCATTCCAATATGGAAAGAGTGGACATCCGGGAGATACGACACATACTGTTTTTCGGTAAATTAGCTCGTAAAGTCTGTATATCAAAACAGAAAAAGAAATAAACGCGTTTTCTTTCCTTGAGTGAGTTTTGAAGAGCTTGTCTTTTTTTGCACAGTACGTCACATGAAGAAGGAATCAAATAAAAGACTAAAAGAATAATGGTAAATTTGATTCAAAACAATGAGGCAATCTCTTGAAATTTCTGTAGTTTTGTTTGTTTCAGTTAAAACAAACGATATTTTACATTTCTTAAAAGAAACATTTTTAAGTCGTGTTGATTTCATATCAATTTCACTAACGTTATTAGTAGTATTAGTAATAATATTAACTTTTATATAAAGTTTATTATTGTTAGTATTATTATTTTATTATTATTGCTATTATTGTTAGTATAATTATTTTTATTACTATTATTGTTAGTATTATTATTTTATTATTAATTTTAGTATTATCATTTTCATTATTATTATTAATATTATTAATTTATTATTATAGTTATTATTCTTTATATTATTATTATTGTTAGTATTATTACTTTATTATTATTGTTAATATCATTATTTTGGCATTATTGCTTTTATTCTTAATATTATTTTTATTATTATTGTTAGTATAATTATTTTATTATTGTTTTATTACTAGTATTGTTATTTACATTATTATTTTTATTATCGTTATTTTTCTTTGTTTTATAATTTTATTTTTATTATTATTGTTAGTATTATTATATTTTTATTATTGTTAGAATAATTACTTTTATTAGTAGTACTATTATTTTAGTATTATTTGTAATATTATTGTTATTTTTGTTGTGTATTATTATTGTTTGTCTTAGTATTTTAGTTATTATTGTTAAATGAAGTATTTTCAACCATTAATAATTTAATAGCATGTTTTTATTTTATTTTCATTTTGATTAGCGGCATATCAACACCTCTATGGGTTATTTAATGCCGAGAGCTAAATATGTTTTAGGCATTTTTATGGCTAAACTGCAGATATCTTGAAGGCAATTTTATGTTTTCAACTCGTGATATTTTGTAGTTAATTTTATACTTTCACGCCAAAGGTATGTTTTTATAGACACACAGTTTGTAGATTATCTATTTTACATAGCATTTGTTTTTATTTTAATGACATTTGCTTGTTATACTAGTAATATTACTAGTAATATTATCTTGAATCGCGTTATTGTTTTTATTATCATTGTTATTATTAATGGCCGAGTGGTTAGAACGTTTTGCATTCTGAACATGAGACCCGGGTTCGAATCTCACCATGGTCGGTTTGTCAGTAAGGCGACTTCCTGATGTTATCGAACTGGAGTGATCGATCCCAGCGTCCGGCACCTTTGGAAAGTGCCTGAAAAACCATACCACAGGTTGACCTAAGCCTTGTGAGTGAAATTGGGTAGGCGGAACCCTTGGGGGTCGTCGATAGCTCCCACGAAATTATGGAGGATTATGGTATTATGGAGGATTGGTGACGGATGATTTTATATGGTGAATGAGGAAATTGTAACGAGTGAATGGGTCATGAATCCGATTAGCTAGGGATAAGATAATCAGTGAAGATCAGCCTCAACCCATTCCCCCTTTTTCGGCCCTGTGCCATAATTGTATGTATGTACAATAAATATCGATTGAGGAAATCTTACAAAATCGGGGCTTTCCTCCTGAGAAGATTGCCAGAGGAGGAGAAGTGGATTTTTTCCCGACTGGATGGATGCTGGAGATGTAGTATATGTTCCGTGCCGGAGGCCTTCTCTTCTCCTTTACGACCCCCACCACCGTTGCCGGACATCTGTTACGTATGACCGACTATGACTAGCTTAGATAAGGTCTGACCAGCTTAAGAAAGCTTTGACCAGATGAGACAAGTGGCGGGTCAAGTAAATCTTAGGTAGTATCCGCACCAGTGATTGGCAATGGAGAAAAAAGGAGATTTTTCAAGTCGGAATAGATGCTGCGTTTGTAGTATCTATTCCGTTCCGGAGTCCTTCTTTCCTACCTGACCCCCCACCACCACCACCATTGCGTGATGTCGGTTACTTAGCGATGGTATGACCGGCTATGACTAGCTCAGACAAGCTATGACCAACTTTGACAAACTATGACCAGCTGTAACCAGTTTAAACCTGCGGCCCGAGTTGAAACACTCAGGTCCCCACGTTAAAAACCCACCTTGTATCACAACCTGACACAGTTGGGGGGTTATGGTAAATCTCGGGAAGTATTCCGACCAGCAACCATCTGCAACGACCAGCATCTTGCGGCGATGACCGGCAGCGATCATCTGTAACGACCTGCAATCATCTGGAGGGAACAGTTGAACAGCATGACAAGCCAGGGTATTTGCAAACATCAGGATTCTTTGATTGGATTCCCCCCTTTTTTTCTGTCAATAATAAATTTTGGCATATTTTACGTAACTCTTTGTTCTCGTCGCCCTTGCCTTTGGCCGTGCCACTTCTCTAATGTTAATGTTTGAGGGGTTTGTCTAACATCGACGTTCAGTCCGCAAGACACTTGGGTTGTGAATCCATTAAAGGAACCGCGTTGTCATCAGTGTTATTGCCTCTACTGCCATCAAAACTCGCTGTAGTTACTCTCGGCTGAGCTCCTCACTGTTGAGAACCTTCAAACAACTACATATGGAGTTTCCTGCATCGTTCAGTACTACAAGCGTTAAACTAGGGACTTTTTAAAATAATTAAACCTAAAGAGCCAGACAAACCTACCAAGGTCTAACCTACGCGGATCGTGAGGGAAGGCTGGAGCCAGCCTTCCCTGACGATCCACGTGTTGTACCTGACGATCCGCGAGAGGTGAAACATTGGTAGGTTTGTCTGGCTCTTTAGGTTTAAATAGATCTGCTCTACTTAACGTATTGAGCACTTTACTTAGTTATTTTGCTTACTCAGATCGTTTTTTTTTCTTTAGAGTCTGGACTTGGATGGTAGACGATTATTTTCAGCTGATGTACATGTTCTTGGCATCTTTCTTTTTTTGGACCTTTTTTCCTTTTGTTATTAATTTAGTTATTTGCAAATCGAGACACTGAAGGTTTTGTGGACAAGTATAATTTCTTATATTTATACGATTATTCCTTGGACTTTTTAAAATATTTAGATTAAGTACTGTCTGTTATTATTGGTGCTTTTCGTTCACTATTTTTCGTTTGCATTCCATTTCGATCGTCAATCTCCAGGTGTTATTTAACAAAGTGGATCAGAAAGAGAAGACTTACGGCCATACCAGCAGGGTTGGATTAGCCATTAAGCAAAATAAGCACATGTTTAGGGCATCAAAGGAAGGGCGCCCCTACAGAAATTGTAATGATATGATATAGTTGTACACATCTAAAGAAACAAGTCAAATACGATTAACATTTGAATCAACAGGGTCTCATTATGAAGGGGAGACAACTGACCTGCAGCGAATCTTAATTGACATTCTGATTGGTTAATAAAGGAATGAGCTAAGGTTTGGTTTGGTTTGGTTTGTTTTACGGCATATCAATCTCAATGGGTTTTTTAATGCCGACAAAATTCTTATTGCTGGTAGTGTTTTTCTTCAAAAATCTATTTCTGGAAATATTTTTCCTTGAAGAAATCTATAGTTGGTCATATTTTTTCCAAAGAATGTATAGCTCTTTGTATTGCTGGTATTTTATTTTTAAAATTATTGCTGATAATAATTTTTCCTTCAAAAATTATTGCTAGTAATAATTTTTTATTAAAAGTATTTCTGGTATGAATACCTATTTTTACACAATTTTGGATGTTAACTATTTGTCCTTAGCTAGGACACTAACAGGTGCTACCACTCCGGGTCAGTGTGGACCTGGAAACATTAGCAATTAAGAGGTGGTTCTACGCTCCTCAAAGCCTCCTGATCAGAGGCCTTGCTGTTGGACGTAGTTTATCGTCTTACCCAGGACGGTAATGAGCAAAGGGAAATAATAAAGATTGTATTTACTCAATACAACAAATCTCCTCTCTTGAATAACTTAGTATTACTAATTAACTGTGGTGAACATCCCCGTAGAAGCAATCGAGCCATAGTGGCTTGCATCTGGTGTATAGGAAAATAAGGGTCTTACCTTAACGTGCAGCACGTGACATCAGCAAATTTGCTTCGTGAAAATGGCATTACTCTCCCGTCGAGCAGTATGTGCAGTGATGAGGGGTTTTTTGTACAGTTTAGCATGCTTCCACCGATAGCAAGTCGGGTGCTGATTGGTCGAACTGGAGGAGGCAATTTGCCTGTGCAACCGAGAATAACAGCGAAGAACCCTGATTGGCTGATGAACCGCGGTGTTGGCCTGATAAAAGAGTGTCGGAGCCGTGAAAAGGAGGAGGGAAACGTCGGCTATACGTAGTAACGTGTGAAGAAAGCGAGGACGGTGAATTGAACCAGCGATATTGGGGTTTGTACAAGTGACGTTGCAGCAATACAGACTTTATTTAAACTACATTAATTTAATGGGATTTGATTTTGTGAACAGAGGGAGACGACCTTCATCTTCTTTTGGCATTCTTCTAGCCATATTTTTATGCAATTTTGTAACATGCTAATTTGTTGATGGCATGACCATTTCTGGTCACAGTTTTGTTAGAATCTGGTGGTGGCTTACTTGACATTGGCTACACAGCTGTGATTGCTTCTTTCTTGGTTGGTGTTGTTTTGGGTTGGAACTGATGGTCCGCCTCTCTCAAATGGTCGTATGTGCCTTCGGTTCTTTCTATATTTATTACCATCTAGCGTTTCCACGATGCCCATTCCCGGTTGATAGCCTTTATTTATTTGCTCTACTTATCAAGATTCCATGCTAACATACCTAACTCGCAGGTGTATGAGGGCCCCAAAATCTCTAAAGTGCTTAGGTCCCCTATAGGCCTTAATCCGGCTTTGCATATCAGGTTGAAACGCCGGTTCTCGTTCAACCACCGAAATTAAGCAACGTAGAACGTGATCACTACCTGGATGGGTGGTCGCTTGCGAATACCAGGTGCTGTAAGCTTGGATGAGCGGGTGGTGTAGGCTAGGCTTTGGAAATCTGAGAGCCGAGTTCCAATACCAGTCGGGTTCACTATATTCACTTACGTGCAAATACTCTTGGGAAATATATGAATCCACCACATCTCCTCCAGCTTTGGGTTAAATAATAGAAGTTGTAAATTCTGACAATCTAAAAATATTTTCTGGCTTTAAAGTAACTTTGTTGTTAATAAATACTAAATGATCTGAATAAGGAAAGATACTGGGAAAAAGGTTGGTACCTGGTACCAGCACAATAAGGACCTGACACGTCCTGCTATACTCTACCGTTACAATAGACAGATGAGGCCTAAAATGCAGTACTGCTGCCATATGTGGGCAAGAGCTACACAGTCTTCACTTTCTAGACGCGATAGAGTGCTAAAGCGTCACCGCCATCCTCTACCTTTACAAGAGCCAGATCAGGACGAAAATGCAGTATTGCTGTTATATACGGACAGGGGCTACACAGTCTTCACTTTCCTGTCTCGATAGAATCCAAAAGCCTCTCTGAATACTTGTGGATGAATGAGTTTCTAAAGCTGTGCAGTTATCATTATTTTTGTTATTTCCAGTCAGACTAATGTCCTGATCTTTGTTGTTAATAAATATCAAACGACCTGAATAAGGAAAGATACAGGGAAAAAAAACTTTGGTTAATTGTACCAGTCTTCTACCGTTACAAGAGACAGATCAGGCCTAAAAAGATGTAAAAATGGTCGTTCCTCTGTGCCGCTCCAGAAAGTACCTGACACCTCCAGCTATCCACTACCGTTGCAAGAGACAGAGCAGGTCTAAAATGATGGAAAATTGGTCGGTCCTCTGTGCCGGTCCAGAAAGTACATGACATTTCCTGCTGCCCTCAAGAGACAGATCAAGCCTAAAATGTTGGAAAAATGGTCGGTAATCTGTGCCGCTCCAGAAAGAACCTGACACATCCCGCTATCTTCTACCGTTACAAGAGACAGATGAGTCTTAAAATGATGTAAAAATGGTCGGTCCTCTGTGCCGCTCAAGAAAGTATCTGACACCTCCTGCTATCCACTAACGTTACAAGGGGCAAATCACTATCTGCTATCATCTACCCTTACAAGAGACAGATCAGGCATAAAATGATGGAAAAATGGTCGGTAATCTGTGCCACTCCAGAAAGGACCGGACACCTCCTGTTATCTTCTACCGTTACAAGAGACAGATCAGGTCTAAAATGATGGAAAAATGGTCGTTCCTCTGTGCCGCTCCAGAATGTCGCTGACACCTCCTGCTATCCACCACCGTTACAAGAGAGAGATCAGGCCTAAAATGATGGAAAAATGGTCGGTCCTCTGTGCCGGTCCAGAATGTACCTGACACCTCCTGCTATCGTCTACCGTTACAAGAGACAAATCAGGCCTAAAATGATGGAAAAATGTTCGGTCCTCTGTGCCGCTCCAGAAAGTACCTGACACCTCCTGCTATCGTCTACCTAAAATGATGTAAACATCTGTCGCTGTATCCTCTTCATTTACAAGATACAATCCAGGCAGAAAATAGAGTATTGTTGTCATATATGGGTAGGAACTGCTCAGTCTACTTTTTCCAGTCTAGTCAGAGTCAAAACCGTTTCTTTGCTCCTGTGGGTGGTGAATTATTTTGCACCCTACAAACTCATTCTCGCAGATGAAACGTCATCCGTCGCACTGCTTTATCACTATTTTCATGGACAGTGGTTTAGGCGAACTACGTTACCAAGATGAATGAAGATGAATGTTCCACTCGAGCAGCTTCTTCCGACGAACCAATGCTCTGGGGAACTGACTCCCAAGAGGATGCTTCCCTGATCACTACAATCTTAACCTGTTCAAGTCCAAGGTTAACCATTTTCCTCCTCACATACCCGCATAACAAGCTACCTCGAGTGGCTCTCGAGCCTTGTACAGACTGTTCGTCATTGTTATCAAAATATTAAAAAAGAAAAAGATGAATAGCCGTAATCCCATATGAAAATAAACTTAGAATGGCGTTCTGATATTTCCAGACTTAAAGCAAATAAGATGAAAGGAACACAAGTGAAAAATGAATTGTCTAAGCATATTTGATTATTCGCTAGGATCATCACTACTTACGCGGGCCTTTAAAAAACATGGACCCCGAATCGTATCTTACGGGCCGAAAATGTAATTCTGGAAATGAAACGTTAAAAGAAACAAAACAAATAACACAAAAGATGTAGGTTTTATTCTTGTCGTCTTTCGTTACGAAGAGGAAGATCTAAAGCGAGAAAATAAATAAATAAATAAGAAATTAAAACGAAAAGCAAACGTATTCGAGTAACATCCAGTGGGGAGACGAGCAGTGCGAATCTTTTCCCAGCAAAGTAAGTCGATCGGACCGACGACGCCATTGTTCTTTTATATTTATTTAGTTTAGACTTGTAGCAGTGAGCAGACGTTTGCTCGATTGAGCGCTAAATCTTTGATGTACCCCCCACCCCGACCAAATATTATTTCTCGTCCTCTGCAAAGAAAAGACAAAAGACTTTGAAGTTTATAGACGGGTTAAAAAAAAAAGGAAAAAGTAAAGATGCTCAGGAAAGAGTCGCGTTTATGGCTTTACGTTTCGTAACATAAGAATGTAAAAGACATTAGAAGGAAGAGAAGTAATGACGCCACTTGAAAATAGAAGTAAAAGGATCTTGGCCATTATTTGATACAGCGTTCGCTTTGAATAGATTACCGGATACAAAAAGAAAAAAAGAAAATATGAAATAGAGGGACAAATATTATTTTGTTCTTGGTAGACATTTAAAAAAAAAGTAATCGAACAAGAAGAAAATGAAGAGAAGAAGAAGAAGAAGAAGAAGAAGAAGAAGAAGAAGAAGAAGATGATGATGATGATGATGATGATAGAGGAGATGTAGAAAGACATTAATAATAAGAAGAAGCAGAAGAAAGAGAAAAAGATAAAACAGAAAACAGATAAAAAACGAGAATAATAATAAGAAATAGGAAAAGATGTAAGAAAATCGGACATATAGAAAAATAATAATAATAATAATAATAATAATAATAATAATAATAAGAAGAAGAAGAAGAAGAAGAAGAAGAGGAAAAGATAAAGGGGACAACGGAGATATAAAAAGAGAAGAAGAAGAAGGAGAAAGAGGAAAAGATGGAATAGAAAACGGGCATATAGAAAGATAATAATAATAATAATAATAATAATAATAATAATAATAATATGAAGAAGAAGAAGAAAAGATGAAGGAGAAGGAGAAGAAGAAGAAGAAGAAGAAGAAGAAGGAAAAGAAGAAGAGGTTGATGATAGAGATGTAGAAAGATATTAATAATAAGTAGAAAAAAGAGAAAACATAAAAAACTAGGATGATAATAATAATAATAATAATAATAAGAAGAAGAAGAAGAAGAAGAAGAAGAAAGAGGAAAAAATGAGAGAAAACGGAGGTATAAAAAGAGAAGAAGAAGAAGAAGAGGTTGATGATAGAAATGTAAAAAAACATTAATAATAATAATAATAATAATAAGAAGAAGAAGAAGAAGAAGAAGAAGAAGAAGAAGAAATAGGAAAAGATGAAAGAGAAAACGGAGATAAAATAATAATAATAATCATAAGAAGAAGAAGCGGAAAAATATAGAGAAGAAAAAGGAGATATAGAAAGAGAAAAATAATAATAAGACACACAAAGGAAAAGTCAACATAATCAAGTGGGGTGTAGTTTGGGGAGTCAGGTGGTCTGATGTATAGAGTGATACGATGGCAGAAAATGTCTGACAGCTATGACTGGGTGTTCCTGCTTGCGAGGCATGGTGCCGAATCCTGTTGCTAAACACAGAGTCCTCCAGCAGCCACCCTCTTGACTCAGGGCAGCACTACCTCTTCAAGGCACTTGGTATAGGCCTTCGTGTCGAGTGTGAGGCCTTCTGGGAAGATGAATGTTGACTGCATATATCATCCAGTTCTTTCCGAATCTTCTGTACTGTCCTCAGACAGTCTGAAATTTTCGTATTGGAGTTTCCGGTCACGCAGTACAGCATGCCATTCCGGGATTTATAGGAATTGCGCTATAGAGCCGTTTCTCTTAGAGACGGTGCCCAACTGAGCAGTCGACAATATCAAGAACAAACAACGCGCATGCGCAAAATTGAAAATATAAAATGGAGAAAATTTACCATCGCACATTATGTGTGTGCATGTGTGTATATATAATCAAGAGAAGTAATTGTTTTGTATTAATTAATAAAAAGCAAAGTGTAACAATACCTTATAAACCCAAATCGAAATCAGTCGCTTAATATCTCTAAGTTCACGATAAATGCGATTGTCCTTAAGGCGAACATCACGTCCGCACAAACGGAAGTAATGTTTCATGATAATAGACTGAATGTTGGGGAGACCTGTCTTGGAGTGTAAGTTTGCCATGAGATGTTCATAATTGAGCAGGGACACTTTGATGGAAGCGTTCTCGACGCTTGATGTGACCTAAGTTGTCCAGGTCTCACATCCGTATAAGAGAACTGTTACGACACATGCCTGATGAACATATTTACACCCTTGTGTAAATGAAACAAAACGAATAACTCCATTATTATTTTCTTTTTTTCATATTTTCCCAACGGAACATGACCCAGTGCACATGTTAGTACTTCGTATGTCCATTCCACGAATTTGTTCCTTGCGGATTGACCACAAATTCTCGATTGGATTTAAATCAGGAGAGATTCCGGGCCAGTCCATAGTACTTTGATTAGCTCACAGGTAAGGCCTGCCACTGTGTTCGTACAGTGTTGCAATTTTCGTACGCTTCCTTGAAGTAACAACAGACGATGGCCGTAGGACAACTAATCGACAGTCCAGACAATAGTGTCTGGCCATGATAAAAATCTGATGTAATCACGGATGACGCAATATTTTTCAAGGCTAAACAAATTTCATCATACACTCTCGAAAATAGATTCATATTACTGCACACCAATGCAAATGACCTAATGCGAGGAAAAACAGAAATCGATAACACCCTGTTACTTCAGTGGGTTTAAAACTGGCCCTATGATGAAATACGGGAGACTAAAGTTTCAATCAATTTACGCTAGGGTATATGTTTTGCATGTATGTGAAGTATATATATATATATATATATATATATATATATATATATATATATATAGTTAGATAGATGTGATTAGCTCTATCTCTGATTTTTGAGCGATTTCTATAATAATTATACATATATATATTTATTTATATTATATATATTTTTCACACACATATATATATATATATATATATATGTGTGTGTGTGTGTGTGTGTGTGTGTGTGTGTGTGTGGAAAATATAGGGGATCAACCGATGGTTAGAATTGTTTGTTTTTTGACCATGAGATTCCTGTTCGAATCTCACTATGGTCGATTTATCAGGAAGGAGAATTCCTGATGCTATCGGTCTGGAGCGTGGACGACCCCAGTCCTTTTATTTAATCATATAAAATATAAAATTTTTGACCCAAACCTTAGGTAGATGGAACACATGGGGCTAGCACAAAGTCACAAGTCATCGTGAACGAGGGTTTGAGTGTACTGGTCTTGTTCAGATTGTTGATGATTCTAAATAACACGCTATCTCCCCGAAACTGTAACTAAGGTCTGCTCAGCATAGTTGTAGTATAAACTACAGGTTGGTTCAGTGCTACATCGGTCCCACCCTTTTAGTGTCGAAACAGTTAAATAAAACCGTCTCTTCTACTCCAAGAGATTCTTCTATTGCACTTCCCTACAGTGGAGCACCCTTCCTCCAACCTGATTCAAATATTCAAATATAATGTCAATCGACATCTTCTGATGCCTTGATCTTGGTCCACGTCCTTCTCTTTATCCTTTCCTCAAACAACCCCTCTTTTTTCTTAATCTCACTCTCTGTAACTCCTGGCGTGCTAGTGGCACTCTCGACTTGCTTGAAATCCTCAAAATATATATATATATATATATATATATATTCAAACATATATTGATTAAACAGTGATTAAAATGGCTTTGAGCGAGTAAATTGGGGGATTGGCGCTACAGAATCACAAACAGAGAACTGCACAAAATAACAGAAATCATATCACATGTTGACTTTCATATATACGGGGTGTAAGAGCAAAATTGTCCATGCGTTAGATTAAGCTTTTAACCGTTCTATCTTAGAAATGATTAAAGATATCTTACTGGAATTCTGCGAGGTTTTTATAAAACTATTGGATTCTACCTTGAACAGTAATATGTATTTAGCTCTAACTTAAAATGATGAGCACTATTGCTGTTGTGACATCCTCATCCATGATTAAAGATATATAATCTGGAATTGGAATGAAAGCATTCAGAGAACATACCCTGAATCCATCATAAAAATTCAGACAAATACTAAATGCTTCAGATTCCTCAGCATATGAATCAGTTATAAGAATATGTTGCGCAAGAGGAAGTTTCGCTAGAAATCTAAAAGACTGAGCTGAAAACTCGAGCCATGTTCTTGAATAGTCTCGTCAAATCGAGATTTTCATATGGTGGTTATCATGGCGCCAGACCCGCTCAAATATTTTTAACCTATCAATTTTATACAATCCCTTCCTAAGATCAAAAATGTCTTTGAGCGACTACATTGTAAATTGGCGCTACAGAATCACAAACAAATAAGAGAAATCATATCACTTGTGTCCTTTCGAAAAGCATCAAGAACTAAACTCGTTGGCATATATAACCCGAAACAGAAATAATAACATAATCAAGATGTTGACATTTCACACGACTACAAATAAAAGATAAGGAAGAGAATCCCCATCAATACTGAACTTCAGAAACTTGTTTTAATGAAAAATCTTTAGAAGAAAGTTTTATAAATTTCAAGCGAATGCTTTAGCGAATGACAAATGTTTATTTTCAGGGAAACAAGTAATATTACCATATATACCGCAAAATTGTCCAAATCATGCAACAACAAAATTGTCCAATTGCTAGATTAAGCTCCGAACCCTTGTCACTTATAAATGACTAAAGATATCTTACTGCTATTCACCGAGGTTTTCATAACACGACTGAACTCTACTTCGATCAATAAGAATATATAATTACTCTCCACGCCTAACAGAAGAATCGTGATGAAATTGGCCATAAACGAAAATGACATATCCATCATTAATTAATCATAGCTAAGGATCAAAGCTCATGAAACTTAGCATTGAAATAAAGTTCATATATATATATATATATATATATATATATATATATATATATATATTATAATTCCAAGATCATTTTCCAACTTATTCAAGATGATCTTCTTCCTCTTTAACCTTCTAACTTTCTGTCCTGGAGTAAAAAGTTCCTCGCAGATTTCACGTACGATTATATTTTCAAGTCTTTTTTCACTGCTCTTTGAACTGTCATAGCTGAAACTTCTCTCTCACGTCTTATGAATTGAGTTAGATATTTTCTAATTGACCTCTTCAGCTCTAAGTTGAAATGTTGATCCCTCTTGCTGTCGTGACCTCCTGATCCAGTTTTCCTCTCTACTGTTCCACTTTTAAAAAGTTGATAGCTCTTGAATGGACTTTGAAAATGGAACCCAGATTATGAATGTTGATACCATTACTGAAAACCTGAATTAATCATTTTCCTCTCACCATTGCTCATTTGGAAGGACAGTGGGTTGACACAAAACGATATTAATTGTTCTCTTTCTAGTTGAATTGCTCAAAGGATTTTTAAGTGATTCTTACGACAAATGCTCTCGAGATGGTCAAATGTCTTATCTGAAAACCTGAAAAATAAAAAACTCAATTAGTTTAGGGTTTTTAGATATTAAAAACATTTTTTTAGGATGATAATTTAAATGTTGTTAAATCGTTTTTTTTCAAAATAAATATGAAAAAAAAAAAAGATAAGTGGCTTTCTGTAATCTTCATAATTAAATATTTCACATCGAAAAAAATACGTACTTTTTGCAGAAAAAAAAAAATGAAAAAATTCAAATAAATTAAACTAGTATTATTATTTGCTCGAAGGGGCATTTGAAAATTTTCTTCATTGTCATGATATCCATCTTTTCATGGATTCTGACCATATTCTCTGCGTTTACTTTTCTTCCTCTCTATTTGTTTATCACAGTTTTAAAATTCGTAAATTCACTGATGTTTTTGTTCCTCAGTTGAATTCCAGATTTTTTTTCTTTTCAAATTTATCCTTATAAAGTTCGAAAAAAAAAAATTTAAAAAGTCTCATTTCAATTTTTGAGGGATATTTAGATAGAAAAAATAATATCAAAGAACTATTTGAGATATAAGAGTGAAATCTCCTATGCTTATCAATGAAAAATTTTAACCCTTCAAAAGAACGAAATTTAGAGAACAAGATAGAATAGAGAAACATTCCTGGTCGATGAGGGATTCGACTGAAAGATAGATTGATCATCTAAAGGAAAATTAATAATTTATCTCTATGTTTTAACTATTATTTTTCTTCGGAA